AGTAGTAGTAGGAGCAGCAACAGCCGCAGCAGCAAAAGGAGCAGTAGTGGTAGCAGCGGCAGTGATACGAGCTGCAATAGCAAAAGCAAAACAACACGACGAAACACAATGCTTTGCCGGGTGACCTTTTGTTAAGAGATCTTGTTCTGGTATACCCAGCCGTGTGATCATCTTCGCTGTGCCAGGAAGCGCGATGGACCGATTTTTCCTGTCGGGAGCGTGGTGCATCTCGACTTCATGGAAAGATAGAACTGGCTCTGCGGCTTAGGGCCGAAGCCGTAAGCATGCACCCTGCGGCAGTGGCACCATTCTCATCCGATCGATCGCCCGGTAGACACTTGAGGATACCGCTGGGGTTTTCCTTGTGGCTATACTCAGGCCATTCATGACAATAGCTCCTAAAGAAGTATTCCTACTAGGTCACCAAGGAATTCGGTTAGGAAGCCATCTGCCATGCGAGAATTGAAAAGCCTCGATTGGGGGACGAGTCTCTACGTTGAAGTCCCACTCCCCAAACTCTAAAGGCCAGACCTTCAGCCCCAAACTCAGCCCCCGCATTTCGGGAGCTAGGATTAGGGGGACCCTTGGGGATATAGACCCTCTCAATATAAAGTCCCTTTTAAGAGAGCCAAAAGTAGGGTTCAGAAGGGGTACCCTTCAAGGGGTACCCCTAATAATACTGCCTACATTTAAACTTCTTCTGTGGCACGAAGATCAACATGAAGCAAGCGGCGTCGATTGCAGCAACTGAAAGTGATTCACAAAGTGCTACAAGGGTTCAGAGAAGCCTGAGCAGCTGCCAGGGTGTCGACCATGGCCCTCCTTGTACCCTCAAGTTGGGGTAAGTTGTCCCACATACTGGGCATATAGGGTCTAATAAAGGGTAGATGCAGGGTCTAGGGAAGTGCATGTTCCCGTCCTGGGCAAGTGGCCTGTGCAGCCAAGGCAGTATTGGAGCTCTACCAAAGGCCACACGTCACAGCCCGGTTCTTGCAGTTTGGATTTCAACAACGCATATAAGGGCCAGGGCTCAGGTGTTTTGTTTGTTGCTATTCTGCTGTTCCTCATACATAAGGTGCAGCGAAACACGGCTACGGAAAATGAGAGCGGTAGTGACGGTACCGAAGAACCGATGCATTGGTGGTGCTTAAGCACACGTAAGCTTGATGTTGTGCACACTGTAGAGAAAGCAATGTCAGCGATGGGCCCCAATTCCAAGTTGCATGCTCGTGTCCAGTCGGTTTTAAGCCAGCACCCAGCCTTCAAAGTGAAATGCTCAGTTTGTCCATGCACCGTCTGACACACCCGCTGTGTCAGTCCAAGTCCCGGCACATTTCGTGATCGGCGGTCGGTGTGTCGATGTGGATGCTACTCCGCGTTCGCTAGCGCAATTCTTGATGCTCGTGTCGACATGCTCCTTAGGATGGTGGGTGGTCAGTACAAGCAGCTGAGACCGGTCCACTAAGTGTCGGAACACCCGAAGACCTAGCCGGAGTGCACCGTAAGACACGATGATCGAGACACAGGAAGGCACCTGCGGTAATGTGGAACGAGACATCGACCGGGGCACGCAACCGAACACCGAGCAACAGATCGACCGGGACACAAGTGCGAAAAGAACCTTGATTCTTTTCCCTCGCTTGCGACTCCTTCCCCTCCTGTTTTGCCACTCCTTCTCGCGGGTCCATGAGAAAAAAAGACCGGAGGTCGTCTATTGATCTATTGGTGGCAGTCCTTTGCGAAATAGCTCGGAATCCCATGGAGGCAAGTGGGTCACGACTCGTGTGAAAGCGCTCCATCTGGACGAACATGGTAAAGTGACTGCTTATGCGACTCGCTTGCAAGGCAGCTTTTGCGATGACCAGCATTGCACTTGAACTTTATTGTGGCCGTCTTTCCTATAAAATTTTCCTGCTTCTGGACAACATGGTAGTGACAATGCTGCTTGTACTTCACTCATAGCACTTCGCGATCAGAAGCACTGAATCCTAAATCCGGTCTGCTTGTGTTCCCTGCTTCAACAGCAAGGACTGCTCGGGCAAGCCTTATGCACTGGCGACGAAGGCACAAGCAGGGCGATTCAGCATTGAGTTCGAGACATGCACGCACGGCCGATGCATGGCCTCGCGATGCCTTGGTCTCCTTGTACCCTCTCCCGGTGGCGTTTATCGTCCTCTTCGATGTCAAGCTTCTCTTTGCAATGTCCTCACCCGAACTGAAGCGGCTGCAGGAAGTGCCGAATGTCATCGGTTCTGTTTGCTCTTACTTCGTTCACGTCTTGCATGCATGTGACTCGTCACTGTTCGGCTGCCCCTCTCACGAATCCACATGCAGGGGAATGTGCAGCTTGTATCAAGAAGTTTAGCTGTAGCAAGATCTTTGCAAAGGTGCGGGCAGCGCCGCAAAAACTGCAGCAGAAGGCAGTATTCCCGCTGCCAGCTGCTGCCCACAACTCACTTTCCTCCATCTGGTGTACGCCTGCTGGACTTCGGTGTTGGATCCGATCTGATCACTCATCTCTTCGAAGCCGAAGCCAAGCCTGAATGCACGAACAAGCGCTGGCAGACAGATTTCACAGCTAGAGTATCAACCGAGCAGGCAACGACCGGACAAGCGCCGCGAGTTGCAGCTGCTGCAGTTCCCAAGGAAGCTGGCACAGGGCCACCTGCTGCAGGAACAGCTGGTGAGCCAGTAAAAGCCTTTGAAAGAAAGGTGGTACCTCCACGCCCGGCACTTAGGCATTCTCTTGCGACTTCATTGGTTTCCGCTGGAGAACAGTTTGCACAGCTGAAACTGCTGCAAGCTTGGGCAACGTTACCACAGGGTGAGCGCAACACAAGGTCACCCATGGTACCCGTAGCAATCGTAGTCTACTGGCTCGCGACTATTGGCCGTGATGGTAGAGGTGGTTGTGGCGGGGGCGGTAGCAGTGCCAGGAGCAGTAACCTTCTGGTGGTCGTGGCGGAAGATGCGGAAGGAGCAGGAGCAGGAGCATGAATCAGTGGGGGTCGGGGTGCAGCACCCGCTTCAGAGTCCACAGCCGTGGCCTCCAAGGCAACTTGCAAGTGCAGCCCCTGCCGCACCAGGTCCTAAAGAATTTCGTGAGGTGGAAGCCTCATGATACCGCAACCACCGCAACGCCGGCAGGTAGGGGTCGGAGTGGGAGTTGTCGTCGGGGTCGTCACTGTGGTCCTCGCCGCCGTCGTTTTTGTCCGCAGTCGTCGTCGTTGATGATGTGGTTGTAGAATGCGAGGGCCACCTCCCCCGCTCTCACTTGTGACTACCATATCATCGGCGTCCTCCTCTTGAGCGATGCTGCACCCCCGGGAGTTTGAGCAGGAGAGCAGTTTTCGTATAAGCACCGGTTTTTGTTGTGGAGCGGTCAGTGGCACCAGAAACGACAGCGTTTTACCCGGGCACCTGCGAGGCTACCCTGATGCCACCCCATTTCCAACCACAGCACGAAATCTCGAGCATGGAGATGCATGTCATCAACTTCAAGGTGTTGAAGACCTCTCTGCTTGTCTCCGCCGCGAGCTCCTTTCAGAGCTCTAGGCTATGGCGTGTGATTCACTTCAGGTGTGGCCCTTCCTGCAGGGATGGCTGCAAAGATGAAGCAGAAGCAGAAGCAGAAGGATTGGTCATGGGGTGTCTTATGGGGCAGGGCATTTATTGTAGGTTCTAGACGAAAAGCAACTTAAGGGTATAGCCTACGGAGTGTGAAGTTATAAGAGAAAGTTCATGTCGTGAGACACGGCAGCATTGCGGTCCACACCTGTCGGAAGCCGCATGAACCCGAAACCCTAAACCCTATAAGCCCTAAACCGTAGTTTGAGTCTAAACCCTAAACCCTATAAACCCTAAACCGTAGTTTGAGTCTAAACCCTATAAACCCTAAACCGTGGTTTGAGTTAAGCCAAGGTGCCCTAGACTTCCTGAGGTCTCACGAGGAACATCTTGCAGGTTGGGCCCGAACCCGGGCCCGGGGTGGGAAAAAAGATGTAATCTCTGAACCCGAAGCGCTAGACCCTAAACCCTTTCCATAGACCCAGCTGGCTCGCGAAGGAGGCTGTCAAATGGATATTCCCTATGCTTGTGCACGTGCTGTTGTCTTATCGCTATCCTACTTGACAGCGAGCCTCCAAGTGATACCTGCTTAGAGGTCTCTGTTAATGCATCTTGAAGACAGTATCGTGGTGGACCTTGCCAGGCTTGTCCGAGTGTGAGTGTCAAAAAACCCTTTCCATATGGTTTAGGATTCGGGTTTAGGATTTAGGGTTTTTAGGGCTTTTTGAGAGGGGAAAACCCCAAAAAGCCCTAAATCCTAAACCCTAAATCCTAGACCACATGGAAGGCAGCTCCAAGCCAGAAGCTTTAGCTTTAAAGCCGCGACACACCGTAGGACACTGATAGTATGGAAAAATGGTTTAGGGTTTAGGGAACCCTCTTTGGAGCCCTTTTTTACCTTTCGTCTTTTCCGTGATATCAGTGCATCAGTCGGGATACACTCTTGTAGCGCTTGCCCGCCTGCCCGCAGGTTTGGTTCCGTGCCACCCCGGCTTCGGATGCAACTGGCCAGAGATCCTTCTTAGAATCCTGGGAACGCAACCCTCAACCCTAAACCCTATAGACCCTACAAGTCCTAAACCCTAAACCCCATACCAGCGTCATAGTACGAGGGGCAATTGCACCTCAAGAGTTCCTGCCATGCAAGGCCGCACGATCTAAGATGATGACTTTTATATACCATTGTAGCCAGCCCCCTTAACAGTACCATTAGGAAACCCGTATAGCACCCTTAAGCGGCATCCATCCTGGGCCGATGCCATGCGACAAGCGCATTTCTTTGGGGTTACCGCTCTACGCGTGCTGTGCGATTCGAGCTCGGAATTCTCTGCCTCGGCTTCGGCAGCTTTGTATGGCTGGGCGGCACGGGGAAGAACCGACAAGCTGACGATGTTACTAGATCCTGGGATCTTGAATTACCCTAACCCTCCAGGTACCTACTATATTATAGGGCCTTAGGGGCTCTAGTACCCTTTCTAGTAGGTAACTGGGGGGTTAGGGTTACAGCGCCCTTCTTATGATAAGCCCACCTTCATGTCTAAGAAGGCGTTTTCAGAGCGGCCAAGGATCAGCGAGGGGATCCCAACTTTCAGGACTCTGGTGGGCGGACGCCCCTACATGCCGCCAGCAGCAACGGCCAGAGCGAGACCGTGGACTGGCTGCTTTCAAACGCTGCTGCTTGGCTCACTTCTTCAAAGGTTTGCTTTTTAATGTTTGGGGATGCGTCCCTTTCATTGGCCGCTAGTCCCAACACGCTCCAAACCTGGGCCATGAACCGCACACTTCGTAACCCCCGACCAAGGTTTCTCCGGACGCTCTGGACCACCGCCAGCGGCGCCCAGTGCACCTGGCCGCGCAGGGAGGGTACATCAAAACTCTGGCCCTGTTTCTTGGACTGTCTCAAGGTGAGTCGTGTTTAACTGGGCATGCGGAACAATGTAGGGCCCAGTGACCCTTTGAGGTCCGTTCAGCACCGGAAATACGACCCCCAAGACTTCGTAATAAGCATTTTATGCACATTATATCCTTCTGTAGACATACCATGAGGGAGCTGAGTCAAATAGATCGACAACCAGCAACTACCTGTGTGTATATATATATATATACACACATATTTAGCCATTTATTTGTTTGTTTGTATACACAGATGCACGCACGCACATATATGTATAGATTTGCATGTGTATATATAGATATATACACACCATGCCTCGGGCTGATCTTGTCCCTTGTTCGTGGCATCGGGACATCACCTGGTTGTGCTGGGCTTTCATATGTCGTCAAGTCATAAAAGAAGGAGTCACTGGTTTTTTTGGGGGAGTAAGAATCCTGCTGTTGAGGGTCTCTCCTGCTTTTCTTGCCCGTATAGGAAGAAGAAAAATAACATAGGGGCCGGGCCGGGATGATCAGGAATAAGTTGTGTCCCCTGAAAGGTTTCAGGTATTTACACAAAATAATGCTTTGTTTGCAGCCGTTTACATAGTTCAAATAGAAAATCATATGAGTCATTACCCTTTGCTACTCAAGGAGTCACAAACAGTCTTGACCCTACCCCTCAGAAACCCTAACCTCTCCGGAAAAAAGGCTCCTTGAGGCTCGTGCTGCGGTGAACGGGCCCGATGAGAGGGGCCAAGAGCCGCTCCACTTGGCAATCCAGGCAGGCATGCCGGAGGCTCAGGGTATGTCATATCCTATAATATACATTGCACAGTATCAAAACATAGGAACAGTATTTGTTGTTAAGTTGTTTGATATGACATTGGATTTTCTTTTTTAGCGTCATGACAGATTGGATCAGATTGCATGTTTTTTTACTCACTATAGTATACGATGTTATCTTCTATAGTGTTCTCGTGTAAAAACTACATAACATGTATTGTGTACATTATATATTGTATATTATATGTTATATATGAGGTATTAGGTACTGCTACATGCATATTGCACTGTATTGTATTATATGGTATTGCACTGTATGGTGCTATTTTATGTTCGGTTTTATTATACTTTACATTACATTACATCATATCATATTGCGTTTTATCACATATTAGTTTCATGATATCATATTTCTTCATCCTGGATGGCATGATCTGACGTTTGTTATATTTTTATACTTTGTTGTAGTATGATATGTTATATGGTGTCATATTATGTTCTGTTGTTTGTTGCTTGTATTACGGAATGTTGCATTGCTTATTTTCCAACAAATTTCATTGTTTGTCGGGTTGTATTTTTTGCATCTTGAAATTGATTTTCCATCATATGTCAGGCTCTACACATTTTATTGTTTACAAAATTTATGCTATGCTTCATCATCTTCGCTAGCACAATATAAACAGTTGAATGAATAGATAGATCAGATAGTTCAATGTGTGTATATATTTATGTGTGTATACAATCATTCATAATGTTGCATTTGTTTTTATTGAACATGTTTTAATTGTATTCTACCTTACTGTTCCTATTTTTACAGTTTTTTATACTTCGGATCATCACCTCTAGAATATCATTGTGTGTTCTATTGGTTCCTAACCTATTATTCTTTCATTTCTTAGTTCGTTATAGTCTGTTCTATGCAGCTCTAGTCTATTCTACTCTTGGGTGTATCATATTATACATTATAGGTTTGACGCACTTTGAGCGGCGGATTTTGGGTGCCTGTGCTGTGGCAGTCTTGAGCTGTAGCAGAAGCCGGCGGTTGTGATCATTTTCCCATCAGGGGCGGCCTACATGTTGCTGATATCGGGAGCAGACTCCGAGAAAGCAGACTCCTCGGGTATGACTGCACTGCATTGGGCGGCCTTTGCCGGGCACTTGTCCTGCACAGAACTGCTGCTGACTTCGGGTGCCTCCGTGCATGTCCGAGATGCAGACGGGGAAACACCCTTGCACTGGGCATCCCGAGGACATCCGCAGGTGTCCTATGCCCTGCTGGCCTTCGGTGCTGATGCGCACGCCAGGGACACAGATGGAAGGAAGCCCGCTGACTGGGCACGCAGCCAGGGTGATTCCACACTCGAAGCAGTGCTGCGAGCAGGCGAGCCGGAGGAGATCGGAACACCGCGTTCCTGGATACTAGATGTCCGGCCAGCTTGAAATGCCATCGATTGAACGCGTATGGAGGAGGGACCATGCACACCCAGGACGGCGCAGTTCCGCGAAGAAGAGCAGCCGCATCGCGCTCGTCCAGGCATTTCGTAGACCGGCGAGGCCTGAAAAGGTCCAACACCTCAAGCTGTTCAATCGGAAAAAGGAGTTGGGAATGGGAATTATGCCTTGGTCCTCGACTGACTGACTTATTGTTTGACTCTTGCGAGAGCGAATGCAGATGCATGTCCTGGTGTAGGCGAAGGCGCCTGTCTTCAAGGTCGGCGATCGCGTGTGGTACTGGACGCTCGTCAAGCCTGGTGAGTTCTGTTTGTTGAAATTTAATGAAAGCTTGTTTATATTGTATTCCTGCAACGGTCCAATTTGCCCTTACAAGGAGCAGCCATCAGCGGATGCCCAGCTGCATTGATGATCAGAGTGCTTTCAGCATGTGCAGGTTCAGATCACCTTATGCATGCATGCATGTTTATCTACATATATACAAGTGCACGAACGCATGTCGAGTCTCTCGCTAGTGACTTGTATTCGAAGCATCTATACCTAGACATGTCTATGAAGACGTCTGTAAACTTTAGCACGTACCTACACGTACATGCACACATACCGGCATACAATATACACAGAGAGGTGTGTATGTGTATGTATGTATGTATAAATATATATATATATATATATGTATGCACATGCACACACACACACATCGTTTATAGGGATCTGCGATATGCCTGCAGTATGACGCCACGGGGTGTATGCATTTTAAAAACCATAAAATATAAGTATAAGTATATATATATATATGTGTGTGTAATATATACACATTTATATGTACACGCGCGCACACATATTCATGCATACATTTACATGCGCACACACACAGATATACATATGTATGTATGTATGTATGTATGTATGTATGTATGTATGTATGTAAGCACATACAGGTACACACACATGCAGACACACACACACACATAATATGTATATATATATATATATTACATGTAGTAATATTAATGAATATGTACGTATGTATAATTTTGTATATGTAGATCTACTCTTTCAATTATGTGCATGACGCGCACACGCTCGGTTGACTGCCCTTTCGCTGGTTGGCCATAGTCACCTCGCAGCCTCGGCAGAGCGAGAGGGAAACACACACACACACATACATAAGTACACACACATGCATGACTACACAAGTTTATGTATAAGTATATATATATATATATGTGTGTGTGTGTGTGCATATGTTTCTCTGTAGACATATCTACACGGGTATGCATGCCTGCATGCATGCATGCATACATACCCACACACACACATACATACATGTACATCTCAAGATGCATACATTCTGCTTGCTCATATGTGCATATAGAGATTACAAACCAACAAATCAACCCACATGTGTATACAATATACATACATACAGAAGATGCATTCACATGCGTGCACACACACACACGACGCACATGCTGCGGTGCCGGCCTTGAATGGGCACGCAGGGCTCGGGCTGCAATCTCATCGTAGCCGCCTCCATCCTTGTGCTCGGGTTGGAGATGTTTGAGTTCAGGGTTTAGGTTTCCCAGATAGACGGAGGGGAGCAAGGGGGAGCACGGATGACGGCATGTGCGCAAGCCGGGGTCGGTTGCCGCGGAGGACATGGCTCAACACCCGCATCAAGAAAGTGAATCGGCGGAAAGATGGTGCCCTGGCCATCATCCGTCGCAGATCAGCCTCATGCACCTATGGTTGCTGGACTTTGGTTTAGAGCACAGGTTTGGAGTCCCGGAAGCTTTGCAGTGAATCACAACACACATAGCAGCATGATGTAGTAATTCCAGGTCCGGCCAGAACATATCTGATGAAGATGACAATGGAATAACATCAGTCACAACACGGAAGCTACTAGCATCAACTAGCCGACCCAGGCGCAATCGTGTCCTATGACTGCTCGGGTAAGCCCAAGGCGCTACAAGAGGGCCAAGGGGCGCCTTGAGGCTTAGGATGGCTTAGGATGATTGCTGTGTTTGTCCTGTTGCTTGGGACTGTCCGGTCTTGCCTGCTTGCGCTCAAGGTCGTCCTGGGCAGTCCGGACTGGGGACTTGCTCTCGGAGTCTAACTATGTACTGCTTCATTTTTCCTGTAGAGCATGGTTTCAAGCGGCGCGCGACAGGGGGTTTCAAGAAGCTCCCATCTGGCATCTTTATACAAATCGACATGCATAAAGAGACACATGCATTCATTATTACATGTGTAAATCTTTTTTCGCTTGCGGTCAGGGCAATGTAAGTATGTGTAGACACGTACATCCATACATAAACACATGCTTTCATACCACATACATACATACATACATACATACATACGTACGTACGTACGTACGTACGTACATACATACATACATACATACATACACACACACACATACACGCACATACACATACACATACACATACGCATACGCATACA